TAAATACAGAATCTAAAAGAGAATTTGCTTTCGTCGCGTATCAACACGACACTACCTACTCCTTAACTGCTCCGGTCAACCAAAGGAATGTGTTGAACTTCTTGTGGAATTAATGGAACATCTACAGGGAGAGATAACATTATAAAAATGGCAAATTGTCAGCATAATTCACTTTAAGGTAAGGTATCCTCTGTAGCTGCATATATATTAATTAATTAAAGAATAAAGTGAGCAATTTTTTATTATTCTGAGGATTTTTTTGAAAAAAAAGATATGTAAAAAAATTTCTTCTCCGACAAAATCATGACTACCTGTTTCTTTGTCAATTAACCAACATCAACAAACCCCAAAAACTTATCGAAAAATAACATTCTTATGGCGAAATTGATGAAAGCAACGCGGAAACACGTTTAATTACAGTTTACAAATAAAACTATGCATCTTGGAGTCTTGCGGTTGGGTCTTATAACCATCCGAACCCAAGGGCTGTGGTCGGTAACAAAAAGTTACATCTACACTTGGACTCATTAGTCTGGAGTGGACCCTTTTTATGAATTAAAAATAAGGGAAATATGAGGGACACTTGATGTCCCTCCACTCTGCATCTCATTGGGCTGGAGTGATCTCCTTTAGTATATATATATTTTAAAATTATCACATTCTTGCACCTTATTAGTGCGGAATGCAAAGATATTCAGATTTATACCGAGTGGTGGAGTTTTTTTGAAGTTTTTTTTTTTTAGTATTGTTTATAAATTATAAATTTAAATTTATATTAGAAAGAAAATTTAAAAATTATGTTTATAAATAATAAAAAATGAGTAAAAAAAAACTTATAAAAAATAAAAGTTTAAATTTTTTTTATAATTTACTGTTTAATATTTTTTTAAAATTAAAAAAATTAAGAAATATAAAGCTTTAAAAAAAAATTTTAACTTATAAAATATAAATAATGTCAAAAAATTAAAACACTTATAAATTTCATTAAACAACATGCTCTGAGTACATCTAGTATTTCTTTAATAATAATAAATAAAAATTACAAAGGAATTTTTGTGGTGTGAGATTCAGGCGGGTGCGAATTGGAGAATTTCGGGTGGTGTTAAGGTGACTGCTTCGATCGGGCCGTGTTATGCGACGACGAAGTGCAAGTGGACGGAGGAGAAGAGTACAAGTGCAGACATAGGAGACGGATAAACTATCAAATCATTCAAATCCTTGCAAATGTTTGGTTATGGAATGAATATGAATGAATCTTGGTGTGGAGTAGACAAGGGTTGTGCGAACCGGCATAATGGGTTTTGATTAATAAAAAGACCTAAGGTGCTTAATTTGTTTTGTTATTATTATTATTTTTGAAAATTGAGAAATTATAGGGGAATGAAGGATTTTTTCAAGTGTTAATAGGAGTTAAATTCTC